ACAACTGAATCTCAAAATGAAAACACGCACTCAGTAACCCCTTTTTGAAGAGCCTGATTTGCATGATTTTGCCGTCGATCTTTTTTTTTCGGTACTTATCACTAAGGATTTCCAGATTTTTTTTTTATGCAACAAAAATTTTTTTATTTTTTTTATTTACAAAAGAACGAAAAAAATTAATTAGTGTCTTTTCCTCCTACAAAATGCAAGAATATTGCCATAATATTAGAATAAAAAAATATTACATATTCAATTAAAAAAAAATTTTTTTCTTTGACACTTCTGTTACTTTAAATTAGTAACATTTATATTCGTTATTTTTAAAAGTATCTTGCAGTAAGATATTAGTATTAGAGAGGTATGTCGCAGAAAGCCAGAAAAAATTCTGCCACAGGTGTATTCAAAATGTTTTTAGGCATCCTGTAATATTTTTTCTTCCCCTCTCTCCAGGAACCTCTTTGTTGTATGCATGGCTCTTTTTTATTTCCTATTACTCTTCTTGCCATTGGAAAAGTGAGGGGAAAACACAAATCTCCCCTCATAGCTGCTGTTTATTCTAGAAATTCAAAAACTTATGTGCAAATTTACTACTTTGAATTCAAGTACGAATTGGATCTCGAGGCTGGAACTACCCAAAAAAGGGTAAAAATTTCTTTCTTCTAGCTCCTTTCTTCAAACCCTATTAAGTATATTTTTTAATATTTCTTTGCAATATTAATAGGTATCTTTTAATGAGGTGGAGGGAAGGCGGTTTGAACAGAAGATTACTTCCATTGAAATCATGTCTATTGAAACTTCAGATGATGGATATGAACAGTATCTCCTTGTTGGTTTAGAGGTAAAAGTTCATCTCATGTACTGGTATTTAACACTAAACATACCATAACCGGTTTAACGATCATTTAAGAACTTTTGCATCGAAAATGCGCTCATCGTTTTTGCACATTTGACTTCATGGCTTTTTCTAACAATTGTATACAGTTAATATTCTATTATTATTATTTTTAAAATTCTTTTTGTTTCTAATAATACTTTTCGTATAGGGGAGAGGGGGGCACATGTGAACATTTTTTTTTATTTCTTCATTTTTCAAAAAATATCATACATTTCTCACAGTAAAGAAGTCCATATGTTTAAATAGTCTTTTCTTTGTCTTATGGAATTTTTTGAGATTTTTCAATAAAATATTTCTTTACTTTATGACATTTTAAAAAAATGACTTCAATTGTTCACATGTG